GACATAGGTATAGGGAACCCACGAAGGACCCTCAGATCGCAGTCCTACAACCATCCTCACCAATTCTATACCAGTATACCTCTTTTCCTTTCCACTTATTTCGATCCATCCACTTGTTTCTAGATTACTATGCTTTTAACTCACCGATCCATTTACTCCCTTTCGAAGCTGTTTATCGTCCACTTATTGCAAGCGTAATTTTATGAAAACCCCCCCGAAAACCACTCTACTTGATCCTCTCTCCCATAGCATAATTTTTTCACCCTCAAAAAGGTTTTCCGTTTAAATATTTTATTGTATCTAATCCCCCCCCCCTCCCTTTTTTTTTTTTTTTTTTTTTTTTTTTTTTTTTTTTTTTGCGAATAAGAGAAAATGCTGGCTTAATAACCCCTCTCTACTTCATTGATTCTTCGGGGTCCTTTTCTTCTATTTTCTACCCTATCTTAATGAATTCTTCTTTGGTTTCCCTGAACATATTATCACTTTCAACTCCACACACACACAAAAAACTGCCAGCGCCTTTCCGTCCTTTTATTTGTCTTATTTGCACATTCCGCTTTATTTTCCGGGTCTAATTCTCATTCTTTTTCCTTCGCTAGATGATACAGGCAATGGAAACCGACAGATCCGTTATTAGAGAGTTTTTTCTAGAGGAAGATCGCTGAGGATTCTCCCAACCGGGTTTTATCGATTGCTGGAGCAGCAATACGATATACCCAAGTGGGTTTTCACTTTACTGACTTCTTGTCAGGTAATTTTTCTCGGGTCGGCCCAGCCCTCCTGTAAATCCCAAAACTACTGTAGCTAGCTGCGCGTTAAACCATACCCACTAGGACAGGTGATTTCTACCTACTCATTCACCTATTTACATTTTCAGAAGAGATGAATATCCCATGATAAAGTAAATTCTCGGACGCTGGGGGAATAATAAAGCCATTATCCTATTCCCATTGATTGAATCTAATGAATATAATGAGAAGAAAATATATATATATATATAGAAAGAAAGAAAGAAACAATCAAACACGGAGGATATTGATATATCGTCACTTGGCAAATTTGTTACATACCGAAATACCCGTCCACAGAAGTTAATTCTTAGAGGCGTCTTTTGTTTTTAAATTATCCTTTATATTTAGCAGACTCAGCCTTGCGTAGTATACATTTCATCATCGTACATATATCTACTAGTTGTAAACGAGTTTGTCTTCGTACTGAAAGAGCATAACACGCCGAAGCCACCCATCCACAATAAAAGCGTGTGTATGAGAATATATCTGATGAACAAGAAAATGTCACAAGATAGGCCAAGGCTAGAACAGGGGATCAAAAAAAAGAAGAAGAAGAAAAAAAGGCAAAAGGGAGGAAGGGAGTGAAGATTATTGCTTGAATTCGCTCAATTAATTCCACTTGAATAACTATATACTTTGATGCTAGATGATAGATAGGCGGTTTAGAATATAGCCACTATTTTTCAAATTATTTCAATGTTTGAAGTATTCTGCTGTTTTGGAATATTCCCTTTTTTGTGTCCATAAACACAAAACCTATTCATTGCTACAGAAAAAAGAGGTTGGTTTCAAACTTAGGAAAGAATGAATGCTACAAATGGTGATGTCTAAATAGATAAATGGACTACTTCAAATAAGAGGGGGAAAACATGAGAATGGTTTGGTAGAACATTTTAAAAAGATTCATGAAAAACAAAAAAAGATAAGGCGGGAGGAATAGTTAAGATAAAAGAATCTTCAAAAAAGAGAGGATACAGTAGTAACATCTCTTTTCCCTTGGCTTTCTTCAACCTCTGAGGCTGCCCACTCATGGGCTCACACTCATCAACACTCAGGTTTATTGTATTGTTTCTTTAATAGTTTTCTTCAACCACGCTTGGTCATCTGCATCCATGGACCTTCCAACTCCCCACTCTCTTTCTTTCTTCCCCTTCACAGCGCTTCTTTGCATCCTGCCACAGAATTCATTACCATATAGAACTTTTCATATATTATTTTCCATTTTCATTTCAAATACTTCGTAAGGTTTCTCGTTTTATGAGCACACATCTGTATTGAAACTTTCCATTTCCTCCCAATATATTCCTTGCGTATTTATCCATTACAACATGAGTATTTTGGTTTGCTTCTGATTTAAAAATCGGCATCATCCTCGTCAGGAAGAGGCATCTGGGCGGCTTGCCTCATTTCCTCTTCGGCTGCAGCGATCGCAGCCGGGTCAACAGTTGTCTCGGGTGGTGCGAGGGCAATATCGGCAACAAATTCCTATTGATTTTGGACATGTTAGAATAATTCCCTTTTCGAGCTCTCAACTTGAGCGTGGAAACTTACCAGGCCAGGGTTTCCAACGAGCTTTCTTGCGAGCCACAAGAAAGGTTTCTCGAAGTTGTAGTTGGATTTAGCAGAGATATCGTAGTATTGGAGGTTCTTCTTGCGGTGGAAAGTGATAGTCTTGGCCTTCACTTTCCGCTCTTTGACGTCGACCTTGTTACCGCAGAGGACGATAGGTACATTTTCACAAACACGGACGAGATCACCTAGATAGAAGATGAGTTTTCAAAACTGAAAACGGGTTCGACGCGGTGGGCGTGTCACCCCCGCAAAACAATATAGATATACAAAATAAAATTATCGTAATATATGGAAGACTTACGATGCCAAGACGGGACGTTCTTGTAGGTAATGCGGGAAGTGACATCGAACATGATGATACCACACTGGCCGTTGATATAGTAACCATCTCTCAGGCCACCAAACTTTTCTTGTCCGGCAG